ATCAAAAAAAAGGGACTGGCCCCTCAAATTAGGGGCCTAGGGGGGCCAAAAGTCTTTAATCTATATCTCTTTAATGATCAATATTTTGTTATTCATTACTGAAGCAAATATGTTTATCTTAACAATCAGCAACTATATATAATAATGTTGTGATCATATGTTACGTAATTAGGGGCCACAAGGGGCCAGAATGCTCAATCTTTGACGCTTCGTATCTTGAAATGGAGAAATATTTTGAAAAGCAATATTGAACAAAAGATGTTCAGAATAATGTTCTAAACAATATGCAACCTTTGAATTTTTCCTAAATGGCCCCATTAAGGACTTTGAGGGCTGGCTCCTAAATATTTCTTTTCTACATATCTCGGAAACAAAAAGCAATTTCTGAGTAATTGTTGCACAAAATGTATTCAAATTTAAAAGATCTTTCTTTTGATATCAAGAAAGGGGCTGGCCCCTCAAATTAGGGGCCTAGAGGGGCCAAAATGCAATATTTTGATTCTTTACTGAAGCAAATACTTTATCATAACAATCTGCAATCTTGCGGTTAGTACGGTACTCTTTAGATCTCTTTGATCTTCGATGTACATCCTTTGATGTATGTAAAACGTCCTATATGGTTCATTTCTAGACCGATTTTTAAACTTTTTAAAATATCATATAGATCTTTTTGAGAGGTTTCCAACGGTATATTTCTTGTGATTTTTAATGCACTAATTCAGAAACTATTAGCTCATATCTATAAGCATTCTGTTTTGACAGAACATGTCCTCGCGTTTTAGAAGTAAACAACTTATATTTAGTTACAATGGCGGACATTTAACGATGGCTGTGATTGGTCAACCAATGATATGACAGCTTATATATTGATATCCTCCATTTTGAATATTTGAACCGTACGCGCATCCTAATTGCGCATGTGACTTATTATTCTAGAACATTCCTATTTGTCGGTATATAAGTCGATCAGATTAACCGGAATTCTATTTTACGCTGTTTAAGTCGATCCGATAATACGATAATCGGATATTACGATAAATTCCTACTTTTGATGAATTTCATCGAAAATTTGACGGAGACCCACTCGTTGCTCGCGGTACTAGTTGATTTAGTTATGTCGCCCCGAACCTTTCCTTAAAGGACGATCACTGGTTGTAGTTGTGCAGTGAGGTCGTTCAGTTCCAATATGTCTACCGTTGCCATGGAAACCTGTAAAAAGCGACAAATATTGTCCGAGAGTGTTCTCTCTGGTCCCTTAAACGTTCGTCATGAAACTTTTCTTATTTTAATAATTAGTATCTGTTGTTCTGCAACCCGTATTTAAAATTTTCATATGATCGATTATTGCCATGGAAACCAGGTGATAGATAAAATTCTTTAATTTCGATTTTCTCCATAACTGTCCGAAAGGCAATGCCTTGAAAATCTACATTTTATTCCTTGAGTGTAGATTTTAATTTTCAAAATGTGATCCTTGTTTGAGATCGCAGTCAACTTGAGATAATAATTTAACAGGTTTTATTTTAAAGATTCAGTGATGTCACATGACTGTGTTGATCACGTGACGGAAATTTATGATATTCCTAAAGTTCTTTTGCACAAAAATCGCTTGGCAAATGCAAAAGCAAAATATACTGTGCAAAGTTTGTTACATAGATCAATTCATCGTTTTTTCTAGTACATAGAAAGTGCTGGGGGGATTTAACATATACAACTTTTACTTTTTAGAAAATATTTTACAAGAAATTCAACTTACCAGCATGAGATAGGGTATTTTCCACTCTTTATCGCAATTTATACAAAATTTTATAAACTATACACAAAGCAAAATCAGTTAGAGGACATACTTCTTATCATTCACACAGAATATCTTCATATTTGTCACTTGTATATTATTCACTTGTGCCAGTCCAATATAAACACGCTTAAAAAACTCTGTCTACGGACGTGTAAGGGGAGCGTTTCACACATCATAATTTTTGATCAACTCCTGATGGTTCGCAATATGTGCATTCGGACAAGCAAAAGGAATGGGGATATTTAAGTTTCAAATGTTCAGCATCATAACAGCAAACTCGAGCTTAACAAAGCAATCCTTACACTTAAATTAACACACATCAGCTCTCTGCAATAAACTACAATTGAAGGTAAAATTTATGAGTTTTCCCCGTCATGTCAGCTCAAGTATGCAGTGACTTGACGTCATGTTCTATTATGACGTCATATCTAGGTAGTTCAGCGAATTTAGTACAGTTTGAACAGTTTGATATTTTACGGGCAGCCTTATCCTAGCTGCGTTCATGGAAACTTGAAAAATTTTATTTTTTAAATGGCATTGATAGTGAAACATTTGGGATGTGCAGTGAAAACATTTTGCTATAAAACATGTGGCATTTGTGAGCCGTTGCCATGGAAACCAAGACCAAACATCCCCAAGTGTGCTCCATATCGGTGAACGTATATTTACTACATTTTTCATTTGTAGATACATAGGTGTCACATATTATTAAATCAAAATTAAAACACATAAGCATAGAAACTAATTCTTATATTTTTACCACTAAACATCACTGGTTAGAAATTAAAAAAAATATTTTTATGCCTCTATTATGCTAGCTTTGTCTTAAATAATTAAGCCAAAATAAGAATTAAATTCTTTAATCTACAACAAGATTATCTCAATCTGGTATTAAAAATTAAACAAACACTTCCTTTTCTACAAAGATTCGGCAAAAAAATGAGAAGCATTTGTTGCAGATAATTTTTATGGAGCAAATTTTCGGAACGTTTACCTCACTAAAAGCGCTTGAAAAATTCTAAGGTTACTTCCCTTAGCTGAATCTTTTGTGTAAACAA